TCCCTGGAAAATACAAATGCCATGTCATGTCTACACCTACGAAGTTCAGAATTTTGTAAGCTATGGGATTCCCAGTGAAACTGAAGTTGGACTTTAAAGAAGCAGGATAGGAGGAGTATTGGCACTTTTGAACTTTAGTATTGAGGAAGATCCCCTAATATTATTTTGGACAGCCAAGAAAAAAAAAAACCTGAAAAAAATCAATCTAGCACAAATAACCAGGCTAATGGTGAGAACAATCAACCAGTGGACTAGCTTACCTTCAGAAATTGTGGGTGCCCCACCATGGAGGTTTTCAATAAGAGACTAGATAGTTATTTGTCTGAAATGGTATAGGGTTTTCTGCTCAATCAGGGGCTTGGACTAGATGATCTCCAAGGTCCCTTCCAGTTTTGTTATTCTGTTATAACCGCACATTATGTTATTTCAGATACCTTATGCAAGTAAAAGGCTTTAATGTTGGGAAAGATCAAAGAAAAAGAAGATGAGCAGTAACAAAGTGGACAGATTCATTGGTAATGGATGTACCATTGGAAAACCTGAAAAACAAGTGGATCATTGCGGGGAAAAATATCTACTGGTATTTATCTGGCTGTTCAAGGTTGACGCTAACTTGATGTCACCTAATCAATCAAGGAATTGGGGGGGGGGATTAAAGACCCAGTAGCGTTCAAAAGTTCTATTGTTTTAAAGATATTGTTTTAATATTTTTTATTCTAGTTATACAGATCCAGTATGCAGGTACAATATATGGCTCAAAACTTTTTTTAAAGTTCAGTGATAGCTTAGTCTTCTGCAGTTAGAATTTTTGAGTCCCAGATATCATAGGAAGTTTCTCAATATCAAATGGAATAGTTAGTTAAAGCTTTAATTGCTAATTTTCTTAAAAGTTATGTTTCCACATCCAACAAACATGCCATTTTGGATTCTAGTGACATAGTTGTACTTTGTTTTATGTTTTTGATGAAGAGACAATATCATTTAAGACATGATTGTCCAATATTTTGGCTTGCCTGGGCCTCATTGAGTGAAGAAGAATGATCTTGTGCAGAATATAAAATATAATAATATAGTTAATGTATATAAATAACAAACTTCTTTATTTTTATTTTATTTTTTATTGTGGGTGTACATTAATATCTGTCCAGGGCCATATGTGGCCCATGGATCATTGTGCATACCTGATTTAAGATTTCTATAATTATCTCAAATGTTGTCTATAACATGGTCCTTGCACAGCTAGAATGCGTGTTTAAATATATTTTTTCTAGAAAACTCAGTATTAACATTCTCAATTGTTTTTATACACCATACACTTAGAAATTCAAACCAACTGACTGAAATGATCCAAACACAGAAAAGAAAAATAAAGCCATACAGTAGATAAATAACTTTTCATTATTCTATTTATTATTCTCTGGAATTTTCCAAACACATCTGAAGACAAATTCTATTTGTATTAATTCACTCTGAAGCGCATGGAACTTACTATCAAATAAAGTTTCTGAGTCAAGCTTAACTTTTTACACTACAGTGCTCATCAGGTACCTGATGACAGACAACATCAGCAGAGGGACCTTTCCCTACAGCCTTCTTCCAACCTTGTTAGACACACCAGGATGCAAGTGAGAGACAATCAATTTCCAGTCTATTTGGAGGGAGCTAAATTTAAGAATGACATTATAAAGAATCAAAAGAACATTTTATAGAAAGTAAGTGTGGGGCGGAGGGGGTTTGGCATCCATATGGACATAATGCTTACTGGAGAACAAATTATAGCAGGTTAAATAGATGTTACCACATCTGTAAAAAGAACATTCCACATAAATATTTTTATATTTATATTTCCATTAATTACACGTAGCACCTTGGTTTGTTGTGTCGACTCCTTACAGTGTAGTAATAGGGAATAAACCATCTCCTTCAAAATAATACTTCTAAGAGCCGGGGTGGCGCAGTGGTTAGAGTGCAGTACTGCAGGCTACTTCAGTTGACTACTAACTGCAGTTCGGCGGTTCAAATCTTACCGGCTCAAGGTTGACTCAGCCTTCCATTCTTCCGAGGTGGGTAAAATGAGGACCCAGATTGTGGGGGCGATATGCTGACTCTGTAAACCGCTTAGAGAGGGCTGAAAGCCCTATGAAGCGATATATATGTCTAACTGCTATTGCTATTGCTATAAAATGAGGACCCAGATTGTTGGGGGCTATATGCTGACTGTGTAAACCACTTATAGAAGGCTATAAAAGCACTATGAAGCAGTATATAAGTCTAAGTGCTATTGCTATTGCTATTGCTATTGCTGCTTATAGTAGATGAATTCCTATAAGTATTATTTTGCCAAGGAAAATAGCAAAAATAGTTGTTCTGAAAGAGATTCTAGGAAAGTTTATTGATAGACTGATAGATAGAAAACAAACTTGTTTCTATGCTATTTTCACGCTCAAGTTAATTTCAAGAGAAGGAAAATTCACCCACAGGCCTTCTCCAATCAGGAAGCTGCACAGGGAAGGAGACATGTGTAAGACCTAACAAAGAAAATAGTCTTTACAAAGATAAGGGAAAATCAAAAATACTACAATGAAATATAAAAGAGTTGAAGGTTGAAAACAAGCCCCTTTTACAGAGAACAAAAATATCTAAGACATTTTGAATCTGATTTTACAATGCTATTTGTAAAAGGACGGATGGAGTTTTTTCTTTTCTTGAATGCACTACCAATTTTATAATTTCCCTTCCAAAGTAAAGGGGGGGCAATCATTACTTTTCATTGAGCAGAAGGTATTGTAAGAGCTTGCTGTTCTTGCCTTTTAATAAAGAACCACCTCAATCTCCCATGAAGGATGGCAGTGAGGTTGCCGAAATCAAGATTAACAATTGATTAGTTTTAATGGCCCATGACAACAATAAACAATAAGACCCCTGTCAGAAATTAGATTGTGCTGCTAATGCTGCGAACTCAAATGGCATTTAAACGAAAAGTGCTCAACATAAAAATCTAAGATGTGCACAAATTCTAGAAACATTTATCTTAAATCATAAATTACATAACAATAGCTTTTGTCTGATTTAGCCAATCAATACTTTTGGCTGTTAGAAAAAAACAAAATAGGGGATAGAATATTACAATTATAAATACAAAAGGTATTAAAGTATCAATAATACTTTAAATTATGCTAAAAGGGAAATAGATATTTCAGCTATATTTAAATTCTGTCTTCATTGTAGTTCTTTTAAATGTATTTGAAGACATTATTTCTATGTTTTTAATTTTAAACTTTTCACTATATTAGTCATAGAAAACACTGCAACATATTCATATGAATATACTGTGTCATAATCTCGAAATAAAACAAACACTATTTTTGTGAAAACTATGATGCAAAAGACCCGAGATAATGTAAAAAGATCTAGTCAATATACATCAGAAGAAAAATATTATGGAACTGGGGAAAAGGGGTGGGTGGGTAATCCACAAAACACTGAAGCAAATTACATAAACACATCAGCCTTTTTAATGCAAGAAATAAGGCAGGTAAATTCTCCTGCATAAGTTTGCTACCAGTACTTAACTCATTTTGATGAAACAAAAATTATTTCAATGGAGAAGAGAATTTTGAAGGAACTGTCATGACAGATGTTAAGTAGTCTTGTTTTTAGCTGTTTTATGAGTTAGCTAAGGGTTGACTATAAAAGTGATCTTTGTTGTAAAATCATCTCATCAGCAGATTCAAATTTCCCTGCTTTCCTAAGCTTCATTCAGTCCTATGGACCTTTTTCCATTGGCTTTTTTTATCAGAGGTGCTAAGAGTAATCACCATGGTCATCTTTCCACAGCCATCTCACCGTGGCCAACTCGCTGTGAGACAACTCACCATGGACAATTTTATGTAGGATTACTTAATGGGATATATGTTATCTGCTACTGTTTCTTTGACATTATTTCTATTGACAAAAATGGAAATAATTTCAAAGAAACAGTGGCAGATAACATTTACTACCTTGAGTTATTCTGCATGAAATTATCTGTGATGAGTTGTTCCACCATGAGTTGGCCACGAAACATTGTCCTGCAGCAACTTAGCCATGCTAGAGCAAGATGGCCATGGTGGGTTGACTGCAGCAAAATGGCCATGGTCAATTGGCCATGGTGAGATGGCTGTGGCGAGTTGGCCATGTCAAATTGTCCAATTCCAAACTCTCACTGTAAGTTCTTCTTTATAGAAGAATTTCTCCTTTACCTGTTGTAATTTGGACAAATTGTCAGCCCTATTTTTCTTTTCTCTCCGGATATGTCATGGCTATCCCTACAGAGCCAACGATGCCCAGTTACAAAAATATGTGGTAAATAGAAATAATTAGCAATGTATAGAAAATGAATTTCACTTTATTATTTTTTTTCTTTTCTCTTATAATAGTAGAGATTGAGGATAGCCAAGCTGGATATCTGTCCTCCATTCAGATAAAACCAATACTTTTTTTTTAATATACCCAATATTTAAATGATGGAATTTGCTATAACAACTTGGAATCTGCTATACATCAATGGATAAATTCATGGAAATTAAGTAAATCTCAATGGATATTTGTTACAATGGTTGTATGATTTCCAATAGCAGAAGCGTCAAGATGCTTTTAGTTCATTTCCTGTCTGTGTCTTCCCATGCGGCTTTTGTAATTTATGAATAACATAGACCTTTCAATTTATTGAACCTTTAGTTGGATTTATATTGCTTTTGAGTTTATTTATCATCAAATCTTTTGAAAAGCAAACTTTAAAAAGAATATTTTGGTCACTTTAATAAACAAACAGGCATTATATTGCTATTGTTTGATCACTTCTTTACAGCAATGACCATGATTTGATTCTATAATGAGAAACCATTTCCATTCTTTACCAACAATCCTTTTATAGATTCTGCTCTATTTTTAGGAATAGTTGTAGCGATTCATGAAACAGAACCTCTTGTTGTAACTACTGAAGTCAGATTTTTTCTTACCTGTAAATCAGCATCAAATGTATGTTTCAGGTGAGCTTCTTCTGCAGCTTCAACAAGGTGCTAAACAAAGAAATGTAAAAAAATAAAATTACTTCCTAGAAATTTGATTTTCCTCCCATGTTGGTAATCGAAATGTAGTTTTTAAGTTCAATTTACTTAGTTCCACTATACTAATTGCTTTAAATATTTGTTTTCTGAAAATAACACCTGGGGTGAGGGGAGGCATGTACAAATAAGGTCATCAATCCTTTGTGGTAATCTCAATCATGTCAAATGTTCCAATACATGTAAATGTTAAATACTAGTACTTTCTGCAATGCAAAGACTTTTCTTTTCCCAGGGTAGTGATTTTCTTGGGTACAGTCATGAATATTCAACCAACTTCATTATAAATTTTTGAAAAAGTCTAAAATGGCTGTTGCAGGCATTTTAAATAACCCTCTTCTCTGTGTGAAAAAGGCACTGAAGTGAAAGAGGTCAAAGGACTTGATATATAATTGAACTTTTTTTCCCCCCTCAGACAGCACCATTTATGAACATGCAGCATAAAATTGAGTCTCCCACATCATGAGCAGTCAGTCCCCTGGTGGAAGTTATAATTCAAAGGTCTCAATTTAGTTTGCTATTGATTCAGAATTTCCAGGCACATCAGAATTAGCAATACAGTAATGATAATATTGAACAAGAAAGAACATGAACATTACATGAAGAGCAACTATTTATCAAATAATGTTCTCCTTTCCTTTCTTTCCCACAATGCAGCCAAACAGATTTTCATGTTCTCTTCAAGTTCCTTTTGGTTCCTGTCCAAAGCAGCACTATTCAGTTCATGTACAGGCTACAAGAGTATTTGACTTTGCTTGTTGCTATCTAAATATAAGTTAATTTAGACTCAGTTACTCTTTATCACAAAATGAGCAGGAATGAAGCTGCATCAAGGAGACCTACTTGCTTTGCTCTGCCAGACAAGCAGCCCCTCCCTCAATGATAACACACACAGTATGAACATTGGCAGAGAAAACAGCTTCTTGTGTACCATGTATACAAATGGTATAATAAATATTTCCTTAAGAGTAAGTCTGACATTCACGGGAAAGCATTGTACATAGAGTACCCAAACAACTTCATATTGTTAAGTGATTTCATTTGTACGCATCCATTCTTTTTAGTAGTAACGATTAAAAAAAACTGGAATTTTTATTCCCAAAAGAGCAATTTTAGGGCAGAAAATAAATACAACTGAACCAGGGGTGAAATGCTACTGGTTCGGACTGGTTTGCTCAAACCAGTAATAAAAACTGCTACCAGTTCATCCAAACCAGTAGTAAAAAATGCTACCAGTTCAGGCAAACCGGTCGTTCCAATGATCAGATGTGCAAGAATCAGATGTGCCACACGAAAATCACGCAGAGTTGATTACTACCAGTTTGGATGAATGGTTTGGATGCATGCAAAGTGCGGATGAATGCGTGAAACGAACTGGTAGCGAAGCGAACCATTAGCAGAGCGTTTCACCCCTGAACCAAACTATTATCAATGAAACAAACAGTACCATGTAAGCTAAACATTAAATGAAAAACAATTATTTCAAAACCATTATATTATCAAGTACATTGGGGTCACATTGTTCAGACTTTATGGCTCAGCCCCAGTAGTGTTCTCTGCTCCAACAGATGTCATCTTGGGGACAAGAGTAGCCAGTATGGGGTGGTGGCTGTATCCAAAGCTATGGAGATAAGTGGAGGTCAGGTGCCTTCAACCTATATTTGATATTGATTTCATGTAAATAAAATTTAAAATTCTTCCCCTACTCATTTTACCTCCAGACTGAGTTGTAAAAGAGCAACTGGAGTAAGTTTAACCTGACTGGTGATAGACTAACATTATTTCTCTTTTAAGGGACTCTTTTACTGAAAGACTGGTTCTGAATTTTCCCTACTCTTGTTTTTTGAAGGTTCAAGTCTTTGAGGAAATAAACTGAGTGGAATGAAACTAAATGAGAATTTGTATTTTTTAAAAAGCAAACCTGCTCTTCTGATGTTACTTTTTTTTAAAAAAGGAGGGGGGACTGTATTACTACAAAATATGTACAAGTGATTAATTATGCCTTCCTTGAAATTTTAATGCAAATATGATTTTTATACAAGCAAGAAATTATGTGTGGTAACGATATAAATAGGACTCCGTTATTAGATCACCAATAATGTAAAAAACTAAAAAAAGAACATAATCATGAGACATTCTCACTATCATGGTGCATTATGGCAGAAATTCCTTTAAACTCTATAATTTTGGACTATTTTATAGATTAGGGATATCTGCTTTGGTGATCATGCTTGTAAAAAAGATCTTAGAAGGGTGGTAGCTTAAAAACATAAATAAAATTAGGGGGGAAAAATCCAAATCATGGGAAGCAATAGCTCCACTTTATCTGGTGTTGCTCAGCTTCCCTGTCTCCAGTTGTGGGCATACTAGTTAAAGAAAGATTCAGAGAAATTGGAACAGGTTGGAGGAAAGGCAATGAAGGGCCCATGAAAAGATATTGAAAGAACTGGGAAAGTTTAAATTGGGGAGAAACTGGCAAGGAATTATGGTAGTGCTCTTCAAATAATTTCAGGACTTAGCTCTATAAATGCAGAAGACAGGATTCAAGGTAATAGATTTCCAACTGAATGTTAGAGAAACCTCTTAACAATAAACCAAATTACCCAGAGAGATTTTCAGCTACCTTATCTAGTTTCTGTTCAAGATGCTGTAATTTGGACTGAACAATCTATGGTTTAATGATTTCACATCTCTGATTCTTGCAAATTATGCAAAATGATATGAAAAGTTTCAGCGCTATTCTAGCCAATTGCTTTGCCTACTTCTCCACTGTTCAGCAAAAGCAGTCACAGAAAATTAAAGAGCATTGGTAACTTATAAGTTGTGCAGAGAATAACTGACTGAAGAAAGTGGACCAATAAGATAAGACTAGTGATAAGCAAGGAAGTACCTTTTTTCTCCAAATTTGGAATTATAATTAGGTATCAGTCTACAGGAATTATCTCCCAGTTCAAGTCTTCTAAAGCAGAGTTACCCAACCTTTCCAGCTTTGCAGACTGGGGGTGGTGGTGGTGGTTCAGTGGGAGCTGCCAGCAAGCATGCATGCATGAGCAGCTCCATTTGTGCAAAAGACAGAGACACATGCCCACGCTCATCCCCTGCTTGTGCATGTGGGGATATGTGCACACGCTCGCCTGCGCCTTCCATGGCCCGGTTTTGAACAGCTCTGAGCCATGGCCCAGGGGCTGTGCCCCCCTTTTCTAAAGAATACATTTCCAAGTTTCTCTACTATATATCCATATTAATATGTGCACAGAATAAAGCCTCAAGCAGGTTGCAGTGTTAAGGAAGCATATTTTACACCAAAAGTTGTATAATCAGGTGTATCTAACTCTATACTGCATTTATGTAGTGTGTATATCTTTCCCCCAGTCTGTTATTTTTAATTGCACAGAAATCTAGTGAGACTGGATTATATTGAAAGATACTGATTGGCTAAAGTCATCCAATGAAAAATGGAATGGGACTATTTACTGGACCCTAGATATCTTACACTCCTTGCTGTATTTTATTTGTTCTCATTAGCTATCATGAATGAGACAACAATTTGGTGACTGTCTTCAGCTCTAAATCGTTAAGCATTAACGTATTAGGAGGGAGTTGTTTTTGCCCATGTCATGTTTTTACTACATAATTTCATAGAAATTCTTCATGCTTTTCTAGAAGCACAATATTCTCTTTCCCACAATAGAAAACAAAAATAAAAAGACATTTCTGGCTATGTGCTTGCCTAAGTATGTGTTTATGTATGTGGGGAGACATATTACATGGGTATAAAAATATGTTTGTATGTTTACAACTGATATTTTGCTTTCCTTTCTTCCATTAAGTTGTCTCCTTCTTAAAAAACACAAAGGATTTCTATGAAACTATGTAGTATTCCACCACTACCACCCCTTACCATTTCCATTGCTGTTGTAGATAAAATTTACCTATGTAAGAATGCACAAATATCATGGGCCTTCTATTGCCTGCTAACTCAGCATTATCCTGGCCTTGATTTGCCCTGCAAAGCTTAACACTCTAGTATTTCACACTGAAAAGCTTATTACATGCCAAGGAAAACATGGATTTATATACCATTTTAAACTCATTTCATAGAAAATCATTTATTTTGTCACTTTTCAGCAGCTCCTCCATAAAATCCAGTCACCAGAGTGTAACAGAGAATAAAGTCAAGGAAAAATCATTGTTTCTCATTGTTCAGAATGACTTATTTTATATTAACATGCAAATCTTATTACCGAAGCATTCAGATGTTCTGGATTTTTGTTGAAGTACTTGACAAATTTGACAAATGTTACCTTCAACATCAAATCTTATTTTTTTTCTTTTATTTGTGTTGAGAATATTTAAAAAAATTGATGTGCATTCTACACATAAAGACTTTTGCGAGGCCATCTCTATATTTTGTAGCATAGATGGTTTCTATTTGGTGCTAGTATACATATCAACAAGATTATGTGACCCTTAGTTCTCTTAATCAAATTTTTCCATTTGTTTCAGTGCAGTGCATAAATCTGTATAAACCAGCTCTTTTAGAACACTGAATTGCAAAGATGTAGTCAATCAAAGTACCTAGAGAGTACCAGGTTGCTCTAGTAAAGTTTTGAAGGTAAACAATTGAGGATGATTTTCTCCTACTTCATTCTGAGCATACATATCCAAAGGGATGCTTAAACACCAACATTCTGCATCTAACAATATTTTTAAACTTAACATTCAAACTGAGCAAGTTTTACTCAGGGGAGAGCATGAATGAAGTAAACTTAGGAATCATAATAGTTATGTTTTTCCTTTAAAAAGCCTCTGCCAACCTACTTATATCAACTCTGGGCAGCTTTATGCCAGCATTTCATACAACACAACAGATCATAAACTTGACAATCATATTTAACCTACCATCTTGGATGAATCCAGTTCATGATTTAATTTGTAGTTCACTCTTTTACCTG